AAAATACGATCATAAGGACGCCGAAGAAGTTATGGATTCAATTGTCACCTGATCTAAATATGTGAAATACATGGTTAAAACTGGCAACAAGATATCCGAATACATTGCATATAAAAACTAGACTATACTTCTCTGAAGATCATTTTGATGTAATTATGACTTATATTTCACTATCGTTTAAAGAAAACAAAATATCATGAGGTGATAGGTATTACAAGTCAAATTTTGTAATTGATTACGTTATCTTAGATATTGCAACTAATTATTGCTAATGATTTTAGTCATAGATAAACTTAAATATTTATTATCAAAATACACTCTGACCTGGTATTGTGTTATTGTATAAACAAAAGTTGGTAATAGGTACTTACATTGATGTTTTAACATTCCTCAACTCGGCAGAACAAAAAATTGATGCATAGCATGCATGCACATTGCATGCATAAAATGTTGCCGCCGTTAATGTATTTATCCTTGGTAGATTTCTGCTTTTACGAATTCGTCTTCGATGATGTCATTTCAATAAAATGCAGAATAACAGTTAACCATTATTGTAATCATAACTTGAAAAATTTCGAAATAACACACATCACATTAGTTAGTTTACTTAACCAGTGACGTCACGACGGTATCTAATATGGCGGACAGCGTTAAGCAGATTTGAGGCACAGATAATAAAATATTCTCATTTTATGTGTTGTTCTAAAACGTAAGTTAAAAAAATCTATACACTTCGCTCTTAACTTGGACGCAGAAAAAAATATATAGAACGTCAATGACAGAACAGTGATTGATGATACCAACTTCTGTCTACGAAGGTTCGCTTTTTATAAAAGCATCGAGAATAAAAAAATGGTATAAGAATTCGTTCACCGAATTTAACTACACGCTTTGCCTTTTAAGCATACTTTATAAAAGGAGGTACTCAATTCGAATGTATGTTCTTTTTTGTATGTGTTTGTTATGTAACGTCATTTGAGATCTGATTGAAGTGATTTATTTTATTCAAAAGGTTATATTTCAGGAGAGGTCTTTTCATACGTGGTAAAGTCATGCTGCAGCTATATTATACTTGTAGCACGAATGGGTCATCGACTGGGCAAGGACCACGCTCTCACAAAATACGTGCGTAAAATAGCAGCTCAATGCGCTGTGTTTCATATGGCGAGTGTAGAGAACCTTTGTACTGGAAATGAGGCACTACATCTTGGCCTTCAGGGGTGGCAACGCATCTGCATTTTGATTCTTAATCGAGGATAGATGTAAATGCCTATGAGCCACAGAATCCACTTACTATCAGGTGGGCTGTGTGCTCACTTGACACCCATAATCTATATAAAAAAAAAATATAGATTTGGAGAAAAATTTCCACCCCTAAGGGAAGTTTTTAATGTAACTATTTAGACATTCTAGTGGTTACCCTGAGCCTGTGTCACAGTCCACTTAAAGTGGTCAAAAATATAAACATTTATCAAATCTATAAAGCCGATTTAAAATAACTAAAAAGAATAAAATAGTTTTCACATAAAAGCTTCTAAAGTCATGACATTAATGCTTCTATACTCTGTGTCTTAACAACGTCTTCAGAATTTGTAATTATTTTTATTCTTTTTATTTCTTTGAAGTCGGTTTTTACCGTTACAGCCTATTAAAGTCCACAGCTGAACATAGGCTTTCCCCCATAGATTGCATCATAGGGATGGTTTTCTTAGTAGTCTTTAGAAAAACGCTGCTGTCCATCTTCTCATTTGTTTCCCTCTGTAGCCTCTTACGACTTCCACGGGATGATATGGGGCAGTGGATATTTTTACATCGCCGGTACGGTACGGTTGGAGTCGGATTTTATTTTTTTTTTTAAATTTAATTTTAGATCGCTTGGTGGTTAATTTAATGAAGTTGTTTCTTTACTTATTAATTAATCTCATCGAAATATTTTTATTTAAATTATTAAATTTAAGTTATGTTGACGGTATAAGAGGATTCGTTACATAATTTCGTCCCCTAGGTGATGCTAAAGACGACTAATTTTGTATAGAATAGGGATGACAAACCAGCATACAGTGCTCCTGATGGTAAATAGATGCTGTGGCCTATAGGCAAGGTTGTGACCCCTGTGACCCCTGCGAACTAAGATGAAATGCCTCGTTTCCAGTAAAAAGGTCTCCGGTTCTCTACACTTACCATATGAAACACAGCAGCATTAAGCTGCTATTTTACGCTGGTATTCTGTGAGAGCGTGGTCGTTCCCTGGTCAAGCCGACCCATTCGGCCTACAAATCATAATGTTACGAGCTTGGGGTTCGAGATAATTAAAAAGTGCCGAGTGAATTACCAAAATTGACTATTTAATTACACAACACTAATTATAACTTAAAATCAAACTAATAATAAAACACAATTCGCCGTTATTTCGCTTCGAAGTATTCTCTTGTATCGCCAATTCAATACTGCCTTGGTCGTGGTCCATACCGGCCTTATATAAGGCCTCAGACAGTTTCCAGAACCTTCCACTGTAGCGACATCTAGAATGTTCGAGTACATATCGGTCCCGAAATTTCTGGAAGGATCTCGACTCTCCTAGTTCTGCTATTCGACACTAGAGTCATGGCCTGACTTTTATTACAGCCGTTCGCTTTCATGACAGCCTCGAACTGGATTTTGTAGGCCGACCAGGAAGAACTCCCGTCGAACGGCGGCACTTTGAATCCACGTAGCGAAGATGTTGTAGCTACCACGGGAGCTGTAACTCCTTCCCCAAGTTTGAGGTTGTCCAGCGTTTTCTTAACGTCAGCCATCACGTTGTCAACCCGATTGTACACTTGGTCGATTCGAGTTTCAGCTTCGGACAGGCGGTTGTCATATCGTGCAACCTTATCCTTCACCTCCCTTATCTCTTTCCCAAAGGTAGCGTGAAGGTCCTTCATGAGAAGTATCTGCTCTTCCTTATCACGTTTGAGCTGCTCTTCCAACCGGCGGCCCTGTTCCTCCTGTCCACGCTGCAGCTGCTCTTCCAACCGACGGGCCTGTTCCTCCTGTCGGCGGGCTTGCTCCTGCAGCATCATCATCAGAGCACCTAAGTCAGGTGCTGCAGATGCAGGAGCTGCTGATGGCCCAGCCTCCTCGGTCGGCAGCTGGCCCTCCGGCGTTTGCGGCGATGCATTACCAAATCGTCTCTGGTCGTAACTAGTGTTGCCATGTACAAGACATTAATGGTGGCGCGCAACACTTTCTTTTACTCGACACTAGAGGGCGCTAGTGTAACTAGTGTTGCCATGTACAAGACATTAATAGTGGCGCGTAACAATAATATAGTTGCAGGATAGATGTCCATAAGAAACAGCATCCACTTACCATCAGGTGGTCTATAAGCTTCTTTGTCACACTTATTAAAAATATATAAAAAATAATAGAAACGTTTATCTTGCTTTGCAGGTTATCATAACTAATATTTTAATGTTACAAACGTGAAAGTTTGTGAGGACGTATGGATGTATGGATGTTTGTTACTATTCTACGCAAAAACTACTGAATGTATTTTAATGAAATTTTACAATGATATACTTAGCGCATACATCGGAACAGGCTGTAATTAGTAAACATATTGTGTAAATTGGTCAAAATGCGATGCAAAAACTGTAAAGTATAAGTGTGAATGATGTGAAGAAGTGATTTCTGCAAACAAAACATATACACTCTTATCTCCATTACACGATGTTATTTTTACAGTACTTTTGCTTAAATTTTATATCATCGAGATTGCACGACGACTTCCTTAAATATGGAAAATTACATTATACACATAAAGCGTCCGTAGAGATCAATATATTTTATAAAGGTACAAAATATTACTTTTTATAAAGTTTGTTAGTGCACGCTATTACACGCATTAATGAACTGAGGAGCTTAAAGTGTCAATTATTAACGCTTATATTATGCGTAAGGTAAGAGAGAAAGAACTACAAGAGTCTAGTGTGTATAATTACTTTGGAAATAGCTTGAAAAAATTCATTGTACTCGTATATGTGAGTATAATTATTGTAATATTCATTCTTCGCATCTCGACAAAAGCGCCCCCTACCGGGTGCAATTGTGAACCATCCAAGGACCCACTCAAACACAAACATATATATATATTTAATATATATATATATATATATATATATATATATATATATATATATATATCTTTATATATAAAAATTACGTGTCACATTGTTTGTCAGCTATGAACTTCTAAACTACTGAACTGATTTCAATGAAATTTGCACACTCTGTACAATTTGGACCAACTTATACATATTATATAGATAAAAATTAGCTATAATAGATAAAAATTATCTCTAGCTATTTCGACACCTACTGGATGATATGGGGTAGTGGATTTTCTTACTATGTATATAATAACTATGTATGTAAATAACGTACTATGTGTATAATAATGGTAAATGCTAATTTCAAGCTACAAGGAAATTCGATTGTTCTTAAAAGTAAGGTTTCTAATTTTCTAGCTAAGGACAGATTTAATATGTAAATAATGAATGCTGTAAAGTGCCAGAAACGTCAGGAATTAAAAATGTTTAAACTAAACGCGATAAAATCAAATTAAATAAATATTTTAGCTATGAAATTTTGTCATTAGTAACGGTCCCCTTAATAGTAAGTGGCTTTTGCAACCCACGGATACCTGCAGCAACTTCAAACAAAGAGGGCTACATAATATGTACTGTTACCTCTTATTATGAACTAATTATGACTAAGGTGAAATGTCTATATCTATGTCATCATGTCATTAGAGCCCTTCACAAATCCACTGCTGAACATAGGCCTCTGCCAAGGAATGCCACAAAATTACATCTATATCTATATGATGTAATAATTGTACTAGCAAGGTGCTAGCCATTGTTAGAATCGTAATAAGTTTAGATGAATATTTTAATGATTTAAATTTTTAAATCAAGACTAATAAGTAGTCGTAATCAATGTTTTTTTTTACTTTTCAGGTGATATCGGTTATATCGGTGTTCTTCATCTGCGTATCAGTGCTCTGTTTCTGTTTGAAAACACATCCAGACCTTCGAGTGTTGGAGCCAACGCCGTATCCAGAAGAAGAAGACAGCGAGAACACAACAGCGATGGAAGAGAATTTCCCAGGGTGGCTTGATAATGGTCAGCCTCACATTGCGTTCTTTTATATAGAGCTGATATGCAATGTGTGGTTCACCATTGAACTGCTCGTTCGATCTGTGGTAAGTAGGTTTAATTTATTCCATTTTGATGTGAAACATCTATTGACGCGCCTTGGCATTAAAACTATGCCGTGACGGCAAACGACATGACGTTCTCTTATTCCGTCATGCACCATTTACGACACCGCTCGCGAATCTCATGTGTGAGCTTGCACGTAGTTTACTTGACGTGTTCATAATTTGTGTACATAATTTGTATTTCTTTTTAATACTTTTTATTTATTTTTACTCCATATCTATTTATTGGTTTTCATTAATTAAAAATTCTACCATCAACTATGATGTTTCAAATCTGCCGGGCGTTCTATGACAGCAATTTTTTTTTAATAATTTGAACTGAGTTCAACACTGTCAAGATGCCGAGAAAAAAAATATGTATCAGTACATGATGGTTTTTAAATTAAACACTGCGTGAATGCTGAAGGTTCAACGATAGAGCCGTGTGTTGACAACTTAATTTAAATTCAAAAATAAGGAAAGTAGTGTTAAATTGAATATATATACCTTCTCTTTTTCTCTATCTTCTAGAGATTTTGTGAATTTATTTAGAAAAAAAAAGAAGTCGTTTTATAGAATAAGGGTGACAAACGAGCATACAGTCCACCTGATGATAAGCGGATGCTGAAGCCCGTAGACATATTTATATATCCTCCATTAAGAATCGAAATACAGATGCGTTATGACCATTGAGGATTTTGATGGAATGTCTCATTTCTAGTAAAAAGAGTCTCTGGTCTTCTACACTTACCATAAGAAACACAGCAGCATTAAGGTACTATTTCAATCTGGCGTTCTGTGAGAGCGTGGTCCTACCCCAGCCAAACAGAACCAGTCGTGCTACAACCATATAATATAGCTACTATATTAGTAGCATAGTAAATATATACAAAAGACCTTTGACCTTTATCCCAATGGCCCATTTGACCTTTGATCTACAAAAGTTTAATATGACTAAATTTTGTACCATGATCACTCAGGGGCTAAGCATTCCACGTAAATTTCAAGCACCAATGAAATTATTAATGGTAATAATAATTCACGATTTACCACGTGTTCAGCAGTGAAGAAAATATTGTCAGAATCTGGATGTATGAAAAATTAAAAAAATTAAGATATCTTCATCTTCAACTTTCTTATACCATTCTGTAACACGCTTTTAGAAATGAGAGGAGTCTTGTGCAGAGCTGTAGGATCTATATAGGCTGTACATGCACTTTTTTGTATCTAAACTGTATAAATATATCTGTATTTCAGATAACAGTGCTCTGTCTTTTTATATGTAAACAGACTAATATAAAGTATTACAGAAAAAGAAGGTATAAAACTATTAATATGTGGAACTTTGTTTTATAGAGTTTTTTTATAGGATAAGGGTGACGACGTAAACGAGCATACAGTCCACCTCATGGTGGTGGATGCCTATATACACCTACATCTATCCTCGATTACAAATCAAAATGCAGATGCGTCGTCGCCCGTGAGGACTAAGATGGAATGCCTCGGTTCCAGTAAAAAAGGCCTCCGGTTCTCTTAGCTCACCACACACACACACACACTCCGCTGTGCTTCGTATGGTGAGTGTAGAGAACCGGAGACCCTTTTTACTGGCAAAGAGGCATTCCATCTTAGTCCTCACGGGTGACAACGCATCTGCATCTTGAGTCTTTATTGAGGATAGATGTGGATGTCTATGGGTCATAGTAACCAATTACCATAAGGTGGACTGTGTGCTCGTTTGTCACCCGATCCTATAAAAAAAACAAACAACTATACCACTAATACAGCTGCAACATGGCTCGTCAAATTCACGTCACGTGTTTTGTGATAAAATACAAAATATTTTAATGTGTGAATTGTTATAGGTAAGTGGCAAAATTAAAAATGTTGTACAACCCTACTTCATAGAATTAACTTCGACTAAATTGACAAATAAATACGCATTATTAAGGGTAACTCAAAAACTACTGGTCAGATCTTGATCAAATTTATATGGGACTACCAGAAGCACCAGCTTTCAAATAAAAAAGAATCATCAAATTCAGAAAACAGTTATCAGGTAGCACACATAAAAAATATATTCGAATTGAGTACCTAATTTTTGAAGTCGATTAAAATGTATCTTTTTGTGTATAATATGTTGAATGTATGCGTGTTTGTAAGAGGGTGTGTAAGCAAAGCAGTATGAACTAGTACTAATACTAGTATGTAAGAAACATTGACATAAGTGAATTGATTGTTTAATTTGTCTTTACCATTCTTACTCATTATTTATTCATACTAGGTACTACCGATATTCTTGATAATACTCGATTTTCGCCGTGTGACAGTGGCTTAGGAGAATCCACAATCCCATATCATCCAATGAAACGAGGGAAATAAAACGCGATATGGGTAGCAGCATCTCCGCCTGCCAACCGTAGCAACTATGGCAAATGTTCAGCAGTAGACTTATAGTAGTGGCTGGCTTTAAGAAAATCTACTACCAAAAAATTGGTAAAATCCAAACTGTATAGGAAATCTATAGGCGAAGTCTATGTTCACCAGTAACTTCTATAGGCTATATATTAAAGTGACAAACTTCTAATATGTTTTCTGCTTGGCATTACACCATATACTTTTTGGATAGATTGCTTTGATTTTTCTCTTTTGACTTGTTGATGAAGAATATCCAAAGTCATTAATTCTATCATTTTTAGGCCTAGTAAAATATATTAAACATGATGGAGAAAATGACACGCTCGTTAGGATTCGGGTAAGCGCAATATTGTTTTTTACAAACTTATTCCTTTTTTTTTTGTTATTTTTACAAGACGCAGTTTTTGTAGGCGAAGATGAGTTTAATGATACCTCAAACTGAAAATGTTCCATCAAAGTTTCAGACAGTCACAAAAGAACAGACAAAGATGCCTACATAGATATATACAAACATACAGAGTTTTTATTGTATTAAGGTTGACAAATGACGAACGAGCATACGGTCCACCTAATGGAAAGTGGATGCTTAGTGACATAGACAGCTACATCTATCATCGATTCAAAATTAAAAAGAAAATGTGTTGTCACTCCTGTTGACTGAGATAGAATGCTTTGTTACCAATAAAAAGCTTCTATATATATTTTATTATAAACTTACCAACATATTATATACACACAATTTTACTTATAAATTGGATTATTATAATGAAGTTGCAATATGTTTGAGAAAAGATTTGAGGGCAAAAATACCAAACAAAGCCACGACACACTAATCCCTACAGACATGTCTTTGAAACTTCCATAGGCGACGGAGTGTATATATGAGGTTACGAGTACACGTTTTTGTACTTAAAGCTAACTTAGCTGCGATTGCCTCGCATTAATTTTTCACATTGATTAATCTTTTTACTATATTTATAGTTCAGCTTAAGGAAAGCGACAATAATGTCATCCAGACCGAACTTTGATCACAGTCAGTGACCAGTGTCTGCGGAGACCAGATATCTGCGCAGGGCTAGTCTAGGTGTAAAAACAGGTGCACTCACTATTCCCTTACTCTCATAAACCGATTGGACGGTAATCAGACATGACCGGAGAGAGATCAGGCACAGGACCGATGGCTTTACGCGCTTTCCGAATTTCGGATTTAAAACACCGCCAACTTCCTGACTACGATCTGCTACTGATAATTTCTTGATGAAGGGATTCGAACCTCGGACCTCATGATCCGTAATCGCGTTTATGACCAATAGACCAACGAGGCAGTATTCTTCTGTGTATATATATATATATATATATATATATATATATATATATTGTTACGGCCTACGGCTGCTCCCTTAAAGGATCCAATCTTCAGGGGCCCATGAGCTGAAGATTTCCCGAACAGACGTAGGTCGGGCCTTAATGTGGCCACGTGGAATCTCTCCAATTACACTAAAATATATGGGGGAGCGTTATACTACGGCCAGTCGACCGGAAGGAATTTGGATGAAGCTTACTTACCTATCCAAGGCGACTGGTCCCTCCGGAGTCGGTCAGGTCGCATGTGGTTGTGTAGTGCAAAGAAAGAATGGTGATGTGGTGTGTATCTGGGTGTGACTGATGGTTATTGAACCTAGACCTTGGCCGTCGGCAGCAGCCCGATCGTCGACACCGCTCCAACTTGAGGGCGCCTTTCGAGGTTGTCCACAGTCACTTTCTTCTTTCGTCACGATAACAGTCACTTAACTCTATCGTACGATTTACTAACTTACAGAAGCCACTAACTATCGCTGGGTATAATGGTTACCGCACAAACGCACACGGAGTTTAAAGGGTCAAAGGTCACCACCGTTTCGCGAAGCAATAGTTAATTCTAAAATATCAGAGGCCGCACTATCTAATATTGCCGAATGCACTTATGCAGGTTTTGAGTCAGACACAATAAGTCCCGGGAAGCTCTCCAGTAGGAATGCGCGTCACAATGATAGACCGTATATTTACGGGCCGCACTTAATTATTCCGAGTTCCCTAACAGAATGGACCGCGTGCTCACGTCAGCACCGATTAAAGACGACTGGCAGCCCTTGTGCGCTTTTCGCACGACCGAAAGTCAAACCGGTATGAATGCGCCGCGCCGAGCGCGCTCTCGCGTCAATCCTTGAAAGTGTTTTGCGCGAACAAACCCCCATCCCGGACATAAGGATTTAGGTCCGCGAGCAAACTGGTCAGCGGGACAAGGTCGCGAAGGCAAGTTGCAGGACCGAATCTACAACCAAACTAGGCCACCTTAGGCACCCCATCAGATCTTGAACCCTAACCAGCGCCTCAAAAAATAGCCCTAATGTGGCAAGGCGGAGGGTCAGCCTCCACTGGATGCCCCTCCTGGGCATCGCAGCACCTTAACAAGTCCTGTACTGGACAGAAGTCCGACGACCTCTTTCAAACACCTATCTGTGCCCCTATGATTAGTTCCGCAATCCGACAGGATCAGCTCTGCTAACAGCGACGCGACACGAAGCGGCCCCGAGCGGCCTCCTAAT